TTGGGTAAATACCTAGGAGTGGAATTGCTGGATCATATGGAAGCTCTATGTTTAGTAGGTCCAGAAATCTCCACACAGCTCTCCATAGTGGTTGGACCAGTTTGCACTCCCACCAACAGTGCAGAAGAGTTCCTTTTTCTCCACACCCTCGCCAACATATGTTGTTGCTAGTTTTTTTAATATGTGCCATTCTCACTGGTGTAAGATGGTATCTCATGGTAGTTTTGATTTGCATTTCCCTGATTACAAGTGATGTTGAACATTTTTTCATATGTCTGTTGGCCATTTGCATTTCCTCTTCAGAGAAGTTTCTTTTTAGCTCTTCTGCCCATTTTTTGACTGGATTATTTTCTTTGTTGTTGCTGAGTCTCATCAGCTCTTTGCAGATTTTTGTGATCAGTCCTTTATCATTAGTGTTGGGTGCAAAAATGTTCTCCCAGTTGGTGGGGTTTCTCTTTGTTTAGCACTCAATATGTTTTGTGGCAGCTATTATAGTAAAATTGGTGAAGCTAAGCAGCCAAGGCTTCCACATTGGCCACAGCAGATGACAAACTCCAATCTTTGACTCTGGGGAAGGCAGACAGAGAAGAAAGCGCAGACACTGGACTTGCTTGTCCTGATGGATTCGGATGAAACGCCATCTTCAAAGATGACCCTCTTCATCTCCTAGACCAGCTTTCCTGTGGCTCCATCACCTGGACCTCTGAGGACTCAGCCTAACATCCCTTACCACCACCGTGCATCCCTCCTGGCTGTCTTACACACTTCTGGAAAGTGAAACTCAACATGTATGGTTTTGACTTTATATAGGCTGTGTATTGACCATATCCTTCATGCTTTCACTACATGTTAATATTATTTTAGCTTTTGTATGTTATTTGGTTTGATTTGATAGATTTTTTCTTGGTCCAGAAATACTGAAAAGTTTTCCATATAAATTAGTGGGAAATGCTTTCACTGTACTTTTGGAGAGAGGAGAAAACTTGTAACATTACAGTAAAATGAAGACTTACAACTTTGTAACTTGCACAAATCCAATTTTTTGAAGTTTTTTTATCTCCATATCATCAGAAATATAAATTCTCAATGTTTTCTAAATTAATTTATTTTTTATCCTTAAAATGTTTGCTTTCTTTTCCCAGGTGTAGTCCCCATAGAATTTCCACCACCATTTCACCCGTGCTCCATCACCATAGTCCCTTATGCTCTTCCCACCATTGTTTTGATCCCTTCCCCTCCCCCTGCCCTGTAGAATGTCTGATTTATAGTTGTCTGTTTATTTTCATTTTGTTGTGGTTTTTTTTGTTGTCATTATCATTTTTCCCCTCGATCCCCTATATTCCTCCTATAAGTGAAACCATCCAGTATTTTTCTTTTTCCTTCTGGCTTATTTCACTGAGCATGATCCCTTCCAGCTCCATCCATGTTGCTGCAAATGGCATGAGTTTATCTCATGCAAATGGCATGAGTTTATTGCTGAATAGTATTCCATCATGCATATGTACCACATCTTCTTGATCCAGTCATCTATTTGTAGGCCTCTGGGTTGATTCCAGATCTTACCTATTATAAATAGTGCTGCAATAAACATAGGGGTGCATGTATTCTTTTGAGTTAATGTTTTTGTGTCCCTTGGGTAGATCCCTAGGAGTGGAATTGCTGGGTCATATGGTAGCTCCAATTTTAGTAGACTGAATTTCTCAGAATATTTTTGAGAACTGCACACTCAAAGCAAAGATTTTGAAGGGAGATGTCAAACTATGGCCTTTTCCACCATGGGCCTCCCTGGCCTGGTGGGGCAACTGAACAGATGAAGGAAAAGAAAGTAGGGTATGCGTGAGCTGGATCTGAGGCCACAATGTTACTGGGAGCCTAGATGTGAGGAGGTGCTGACCCGGGTGATATCATTGCTCCAGCATCACCACTCTCCCCCACAAGTACCCTAAGCCTGAATTATAGGAACAAACTGCTCCTGGCTCTCCTCACAGCCTCAGCTTCTCCCCTCCCCCGCACCACACATTGTTGGCAGGCTCCACCTACAAGTGACACCAGCACCTTGCCCTTTGCCTCCTTCCTCTCTGCTTTCCTCAGAGGTGCTTCCTCTATTTCTTCAGCCCTGCTTCCTGTGTGTACACCATTTCTATTCTGGATTGTGCTTTTATTTGTGCTGCCAGAAGGCTTGGGACAGCTGTCCATATCCATATGCTTCTTCTGCCTCTGTCCACTGTGGTGAACAACCCTCACTTGCAGCCAGTTAAGTTCAACACAGGTTATCTGCAGGGTGAGAAATGTCAAGGGTAATAAAACACTGTATCTGACCTTAGGGAGCAAGTTAGGAACCCCGGGAGCCAGTCACCAGCAATGTAATGTGCTGAGAGCCGGGCAGGAGATTCACATAGAATATTGCCATATGTTGGCACACACTCAATTCTCCTGGGCTCATTTTAGCTCATTACACAGATTCCTGCTTTTTTTTTTTTTTTAAAGCTTATGTTGTTTTTCTAAGAAGACAGTAAGTAATCTGCCTCTGTCACCTCCTCGTAGCTTACACAGAGTGAGGGACATGCTGAGCAACTAATCCCAAAAAAGGAAATGCTGCTTTGTGAAGGCTGTTTAGAACTTACCAGAGTCTATGTAATACTTAAGAGTACAGAAGCTTTAGAAAGTGGCTCACGGGCCTCCCTGGTGGCGCAGCGGTTGAGCGCTGGGTTGCGAAGCTGCCTGAAGCCTCTGCAGCGCCGGTTTGATTCCCAGCTGCTCCCCGGCCACCGGAGGAGGGTCCCACATGGCACGCAGACCTCTCCTGCCGCCCGCTGCTCCCCTCAGCAGTGTACTTCGGTCCTTCTGCCTGCTCTGCTCCCCGCTCTGGCTCTGGTGAATTCTCTCACCCTCCCGCGCTTCTGACTTTCCCAGTGGTTGTATAAATAAGTAAAATAAAATCTTCAAATCCTTAAAAAAAGAAAAAGTGGCTCACAATTAAAAATTTTATCACATCTGTTCAGTAAAACCTATTTAAAGCACAACTTATACAATCACTTAAAACACAACTTGTACAATCACTAACAGTTGTTTATAAAAAGCTTCCTTATATTGACCAATGTTACTATTGTTGAGTAGAAATGGTTGGGAGAGGACATGCTCTAACTTGTTTTTTTTAAAGATTTATTTATTTTTATACAAGAACTGGAGTATAGGCCAGATGCGTGGGAGGGTGAGAGGATTCACTAGAGATAGAGTGGGGAACAGAACAGGCAGACTGACGAAATACACTGCTGAGGGGAGCAGTGGGCAAAACAGAAGAGGTCTGCCTTGCCATGTGGGATTCTCGCCAGCCGGCCGGGATTGAACCCGCACTGCAGAGGCTGCGGACAGCTTCACAGTGCTGCGCTCAACTGTCTGCACCACCAGGGAGGCCCACGATCTAACTTTTAAACAACATTAACATGTTTCCCTCCTGTTCTCTTGAGGACCTTGTCTAGGGAACTCTTGGTTTTCTGGGAGGTGCTGTGCTATATTTTTTGAACATTTTCTTCAGAAGTAGAAACGTCTCACATGGACAATGAATGTTCATGTGGCTGACACTAACCTGATAATCTTGTATGAGGTCCACCTGATATAAGAGTTTACATGGGAGCTGAATCTGTTGTTCGTCTAGATGACATAGTCATGCATTCAAACCACAACAAAAAGCCCTTTTAAAAGTTGATTGGTTTGGACACCATGACATGGACTAATTTTTCAAGTGTTCTGTCATGAACACCTAAGTGCTTAGTGAGTGGTTGCTTTATAAATATTTGCTGAGTGAATGAATGAAACCAAACCCTTCCCAAAGTGGGCACCTCACGTAACAAAAGTGGTACAGCTCAAAGAGGGACTCAGAGAACCTGCAGGGACAGCAGGCACATCTCTGTCGGGGTGCAGAGTGGGCCTAGACAGAACTTCCTCATGCCAACCTGATGTGGAGGGGGGCCAAGGGCTGAAAAACCACAGCCTGCCTGTTCTTTCCCAGTGAACTCTGACTTGGGCACTCTGGGCTGTCCCTTTCATTTCTAGCCAGTTGTCAGTGCACAAAAAGGACATTCTCTGTTGGGGTAGAGAACAATTTTAGATCTTAGAAAAATTTTTCAAACTTTAAAAAAAAAAACATAATCCATAGTAAAAGTACATTTTATTTTGTGAACCAGGAAAGACACCAACCATTAATTACACAATTGAAACAATTGTTTCACAACTGGTGTGATGCAGTGATTATTCTTGCCTGTTCCATACCATTAAAGGAAAATGTGACATACACTATTGATTTCACAATATCACAGCATTTTGAAAGCAACGGCAGGGCAAGCCATCCACCTCAGGCTTTAGACCCTATGGGAAGTAAGAGTGATTTCTCTTCACCCTCCTCTGGGACACACGGAGGTCACACGAAAGTGGATGTCAGTCCTTTTGTGGAATCTGAACAGGAAAACTCCAAGGAAACTCTTTGCTTCTATATCTAAAATATGCTATAAATATCTATAAATATCTTTAGCTATAACCATCCACAGGGAGGGGGGCACATCTGACTGCCCCAGAGAGGAATTTTGAGCAGAAAAACACTGGCAGCAACTCCACCATGTCCCTACTTAGTGCTACCCAGCAGAGGAGTAGCTGTGGTACAGGTAGGCACCTCCGCTGTGAGAACCATGTCCTTGGTGGTGTCCCTCCATCCAGGGGGTTTCATAAGGACTCTTGGAGAGGGATAGTGAGGAGTTGGTTTTGTGATAAAATCTGTCAAGGAAATGCTGGGTGAAACCACAATGTCTCACAGTGTCTACGTGATATTCTGGTTTATGACTCTTGGGAAAAGGACACATATGCAGTGTTTTCCTACCATTTTTGACTACAGAATCCTTTTTTCAAATAACCTGCAGAACACAGCTTAGGGACTGCTGCCCCAAGTGACAGGCTCTTCTTCTTCCACTAGCTGCAAGAAACAGTGTAGAAGAGAAATATCTTCGCTGCTGTACCAGTTGAGGGCAGGGCCAGGGAGAGGTTTGGAAGCTTCAAGGAACCTTGGAGACCCCGCTACATTTGGTTAAGCAAATGAAAAAGAATGGGGCTTTATTAGCATGTTGAGTAGACCCTCAATATTGATGTATTCAACATTTATATTTTTAGCTGAGTCAGTTATATCGTGCCCACCTTAAGGGGGTGCCATTCACACAGAGGGATGTTTTGAATGAAGCCCTTTGGAGTTAGCCCAGGCAGCAGCAGCCCTCTAAAAACTAAGTTTGGTTTATGTTTTAAACTAAAAAAAAACAAAATAGAGTTGTTGGTCAGAACTGCCAACCCTTTCTCTTTCCCTGGACTAAATTCACTGACTTGTGATTTTCAGTTGGAGTGGGTGGGAGTGGGTAAGGATCTGAGAAGCTGGAGTTCAGACATGGACTCACCAGTTTCTGTCTGGGATGTCAGTGGAGGTGAATAAGTCACATTAAAGTGCTTTATCAATGTCATTAGTGTCACTTTGTCAGGAAGCTAATTCCTGCAGCAGCTCTCTGCCCAGGTTGCTACCTCATGGCCAATGGCACCTCATGGCCAGTGGCACCACCCTTTGGATGGGCTTGTGAAGAAATTCGTTGTAACACAGTTGTTTATGCAAAGAAATTCTGAAAGATATATTGTGCCTAAATTTTATGATTCGCTCTGAGCTAGGAGAGAGGTGTGACTCCTGAGCACAGGAGTCTCCCCAAAATTCCTTTCCCTTCCATTTTTTTTACTGCCATATGTAAAGGCATTGCATAATTTCTTGAATCAAAATTCTCATCATTCAGGGTTCTTTGTATATGCAACATTCTACTTACATTCAAAATATAAAACAAAATACACCCCTAATCTCAGAAGTGACAATTTTTATGTCAGCATCTCTATCACTTATCGACTGTAAAACAATCATATTTCCAAACACTAGGAGAATGAAGATTTCTAAAACCTCCCCAGAGTACTTTTTGTGATGTAGAATTTCATTAGGCTAAAAGGAATATCCCTAGGGAGGCACATAAAAGGAAAACTTAGAAAGGATGGGGAAGTTACATTTCACATCTTAGTTTAAAAAAAATTTTGCTGACAAAGTTGCTGACCAGCTTGCAAAACGCCAACCACTCTTTCCTTGCTTAACAACATTACTTTCACCTGTTGGTCCTTATTTCCCTACAGATCTGTGCTCTCTGAAGTCCCAGGCCTGTGAGAGGAGGTGACTGGCTTAGCCGCGCTGATGGCCAATGTCTTTGCATTAGAGCTGGTCTCGGTACAGCCAGCTGTGTCTCCTCCAGGGTCCTCATCTATGTCCTTGCTGCTGCAGAGGCCCCTGTGTCTGGACAGTCTGGCCCCCAGAAGTTTCCAGGCTGCTGCTCTGTACTTCTTTGAAATCAGGTTGTAGAGAATTGGGTTGATAGAGGCACTCAGATAGAAAAGTTGCAAGGCAACAATGTTAAAGTACTGAGAGAAGTACATCATCCGGGAATCTTTTGTATTTATGTATATGATTCTGCCAACGTGGAAAGGCAACCAACAAACTATAAATGCCAGAACCACTACCACTGCAAAACAAGACATAGCAGCAGAATTAGCAAAAGCATCCAAAAACAAACAAGGGTCCCCAAGACACCATTTGAAATAATAAGTTAGAGCAACACAAAATAGATAAAAGTTTTTCCTCATCAAATCCCCACCCCAGAAAAACTACCATTCTGCAGAGAGCATCAGCATTTGCTTTAGAATGGCATATTCTGCTCATAGATGTGCTATCAAGGCTGGACATAAACCAGAAGGAGCAGTTCCTACTAACAAGCAGTTCTGGCAGGCTCCCTTGGACAAATGCACTTCAGAGACATGTTCTCTGTCAAAAGGAATTCTGCGACAATTGCAGTCTTTTATTTTTTGATATGGGCATTGTTTACTTTAGCCTTGAGGATGACCTAATAATATTTAGTAAAGACATTTTAGCTTAATCGATCTACCCCTTCTTCTAAAGGGTTGCTGTGAGCAATCTGGTAATCCACATCTGCGGGGCCTCACGGGCAGTTGGCTTAAAAGCCTCCAGTTACCCTTATTCATTCAGCAGGGCTCAAAGTTAATCGCGGCTTTGAAAATCACTGCTTTTTCCAGGACCCGGGTAACGCACTCTCAGTGACGCCCTGGGCTAGAGATCCCGGGGGCGGCTGGAGGCAGTTTTCGCTAGAGACGGAAAGGATCGGTAGGTGGAGGCTGGAGTAGAACAAAAGTAAATGCAGCTAAAAGCGGTTCCAAGGGCTGAGAGATCAGGGGAAGAGGATGCAGCCTGCACCCCGGTGGTGGAGAGAGGCAGCGCCACTTACACAGCACGCGGACGGTCTGCCTGTGGCCCTTCTCCCTCCCGGAGGCAGCCGGACCTTGCAGCGGCCCCGGGCTCCTCCACAGCTCCCGCCCGATGAGCCCGTAGAGGACGCTGAGGCACAGGAAGGGCAGGAAGAAGTAGGCGGTGGTGACCCACAGCATGGCGCGCAGCGCCCCCAGCTGCGCCTGGCTCGGCCGGCACTCGCGGCTGAAGAGCGCCGCAGCCTCGGCGGCCTCTGGCCCCGACGGAGGGGGCAGCCGGGGCGCGGGCGAGGACCAGAGGGGCGACGGGGTGAGTTGCAGGGTGCCGTTAAGGCCCAGGACCCAGTCAAAGCTCGAGTCCTGCTCGACCCCCACCAGGAAGAGGAAGGGCGCCGAGGAGAGCAGCGCGGTGGCCCAGAGCGCGGCGATGAGCGCGCGCACTCGGCGCCGGGTGACCAGGACGCGGGCGCGGAGCGGGCGGCAGACGGCGAGGTAGCGCTCGACGCTGAGAGCCGTCATGTGCAGCAGCGTGGCGTAGGTGCAGCCTTCGCCCAGGTAGAGCGACAGGCGGCAGAGCAGAGGTCCGAACACCCAGGGCCGCGACCGCCACAGGCGGTACAGATCGAAGGGGAGCCCGAGCAGGATGAGCAGGTCGGACATGGCCATGCTGCCCAGGTACAAGTTGGTCGTGGTCCGCATGTCCTGGTAGCGCCAGATCAGCAACACCGTCACCACGTTGCCGCTCACCCCGACGGCAAACAGACCCAGGCACACGGCGGTGACTGGAACCAGGGCCCCCAGGGGGAAGGACGAGCAGCGGCGCTCGTCGCAGGGCAGCGGGGAGGCCCACGGGGGTTCCTCCGCTCCGGAGCTGCTGTTCCCGGGGCTGTCCATGGTGGTCCGCGCGGGGCCGGCCAGGCGCACGGACGGCTGCGGAGTCCAGCGTTCTGGCCCCTGATGGGCGGGAAACCTAGTTCATGGCCCCGGGGGCGACGCTCTCCCTTTGGCTGCCGGGGGCCAGCACCAGCCCCAGGTGAGGTGTGAGCCCCGCCCCGCTGCGCGCTGGAATGCTCCTCTGCCGCGGGGTCCGCTCCGAGGAGCTCCCCGCGGGCTTGCACTGACCCCGCCCCGCCGCAGCCCGCTCCACCCGGCCCTGCTCGGCACGCTCTCCCCGGCTGGTGATGTTGCTGGTGATGTTGCGGGGCGCGTCCCTCTCCACGGTTTAGGACAGAAGAGGGGGCCGCAGGGCAGGGCTGTGCCTGGTCCCCGCAAGAGACTTCTGAACCCCAGTGAGGTTTGTTACTTCAGCCAACTGAGCGCCAGCGCACTTGTCAGTGGGGACAGAGAAGACCTTCTGGAGGGCCTCGGGTGGCAGTTGCATCCTGCCCGCCAGGGAAGGTTATCAGAAAATACTAAATGGTCGGTAAGGAGCTTAAACCAGAATCTAGGGTCACTCCCGCATTCTAGCCATCTTGAAGCAGCCCAGCCTTACTAGCTCAGTTCTCTTTAGTAAATTTGCAGGCGGTGGTACAGTTGACCAAATCATGTCAACTATCCCTGCCAACCTGGAAAGCTATGGGCGTGACTGTGTCTACGCCTTCGGAAGAGCAAGGCATACGTTTTACATGTATATGTGAGTACTTACACATGTGCTATGATTAACAATTTTTTTTTTAAACTAAAAACAAAACAAAACAAAACAAACCACCAGGCAATTTGCCAACACCAGAAAGAACTAAAATTTAGCTGACACTGGGTATTTAGGTTGTGTTTGGTCCTGTGCTATCCATTTAATCCTAATTTGAGCAGGAGCTCAATTTACCTGCAAGTGGGACTCACTTGGATCCCACAGCAGCAAGAGGCAGAGCTGGGATTTGGACTCTGGTCAACCTGCTGTCCCCGTGTCCCGTCACACTGCCAGCTCCACCCCCTCAGTGGCTCTAACCCTCAGTCCTCATCCCAAGCATCACAGTTCCCTCTGGGACTGTTCTCAGTTCTTTATCTGTGTGTGTGGATGAACACACATTTGGCAGTTTTCCACCAATCCTCCTGTGGTAAAGCATCACTGTGTTTTCCAAGGTCCTTTCTCCCTTCTGGAAATGAAAGCTGCTCTTGCTCTAGGGACCTGCTGCCCCTGCCGTGTGTACCTCTCACACACAAGGACTTGGAGGAGGGGATCTGTCACCCTCCTTATCATTGCAGCTGCCGGCAGCCCTAAAAACTGCCTTTCAATCTATTTCAGACTCTGCTCAATCCAACCTTACCCCCATCACTCACCCTCACTCCCTGAGGACTTTGGAGCCTGACCGCCACTCTCAAGCTCTCCTCCTCATAAAATTCACACCCACACCCAGGATTCTCCTCATGCCCTGGTCTCTCCTTTCTTTCTTTCTTTTGGTTATATGGTTATAGCAATGCACACTTTTTTTTTTTTTAAGATTTATTTATTTATTTATACAAGCACTGGGTACCGTCAGAAGCACGGGAGGGTGAGAGAATTCACCAGAGCCAGAGCGGGGAGCAGAGCAGGCAGACTGATGAAGTACACTGCTGAGGGGAGCAGCGGGTGGCAGGAGAGGTCTGCGCGCCATGTGGGACCCTCACCTAGAGGCCGGGAATGAACCTGCGCTGCAGAGGCTGCGGGCAGCCTCGCAGCCCAGCGCTCAACCGCTGCGCCACCAGGGGAGGCCCCCTGGTCTCTCCTTTCTGTCAACAATGTTGCTATTCCTAGGACCTGGGAGCCCCTCTTCAACTCCCTTTCAGTCATCCCAATTTCTCCCCTTCCCCCCCTCCGCCCACCTCTGTTTTTTTAGCTCCCTGTCTCTAGTTCCTCAACTCCTGCAATTCTGCAGCAGCACTGGAGTGTCCAGTCAGTTGCACCTCTTACCTTTTCCTAATCCCACAAGTCCTCACGACTTCCTCTACCTAATTCAAACTCCCCAAGTAATCCTGCTTACTTCCAGCAGACACGCTGACTCCCTTGCTAATTTCTCCAGGGTCCTAGCTGTCTCCTCAAGCAGAGCATAACCACAAACCGGGTTAGACGAAATTCTCTGCAGGTTGCATGCACACTCACATTAGTCTCGAGTTGTTCCACTTAAAATTCACAACCTCTTGAGCAGTGCCAGGTCCTCCCACCCTCCGCGTGCTAATTCTGCTGCATTCACTCTCCCAGCTTCCAAACGTTCTTGTGCATCCTCTCCTCTCCTTCATCCCAACGCCTGCTCGCCCCTCCTCGCTCTCAGCAGGTGATCTTTCACTCACATTCTGGAAAAGAACAGAAACAGAGGAGACCAGCTACACTGCCCATCACACCTATCCACCGCCCTTATTTCCTTTTCCTTCTAATTTTTACTGACATACCATTCTTGCACATCCTTGTTTGCTTTTTTACAGTACAGGATTTCTCCCCCACGTCCTCATTTTCTCATTGGGTGGTTCTTGTACCGGAATCCGCTCTGTCCCTGCAGCACCGCCCTCACCTCAAGGACCTCCCTCCAGCAGTCCTCTCCTATCACCACTGGTCCTCCCTCACCTGCATTATTTTCATGAAATACAAAACTCGAGTTTCTCTATTTGTTGTTTCTGTTTTTTCCCTCCTTCCTCTGTCCTCCATCTAAGCAGAGAAAATGTAATATCTTCACCCGCAGTTGATCTGATCTTCCTTGGCTCTCACCTGAGGAGGAAATTTATTACTTAGCTCAAGTCAAGCGTGTTCCAGTTGCATTAATCCAAGGTTCCTCTAGGGTTCTCTTGGCTGCCATGCTTACCTCCTCTCCCTTTTCTGCTTTTCCCTGGTGTGTCAGGGCATATGGGGAGGGCAGGACAGGTGGTTTAAAGGTCCTTTAAACTGGAGGGGAGAGGTCCACCTCGCTTCATGCTGGCTCCCCGGGGCCTTGGCTGACATTTGCTAGACTCCAGTCGACTGTCCCCTTCCTGCCCGGCTGCCAGGTGCTCTGCTAACCTCAGAGGCAGAAGTCTGTGGCTGGTGGATTTATAGTCCCTTTCTCTGACTCAAGTGATGTTTCTGACACCTTCCTCTTGGTTCCTAGAGGCTACAACCCTAAGGTGGCGCTGAGAAAAGCTACCTGGGTCTCAGAAATAGCCATGCTACTCTGGCTGATGAGCGCCAACTATCCCCTCCAACTACTGTGTGCCACTACCCAGCATTCACGTACTCCCCCTCTCTGGGGCGTTCCCTCTAGAGCTGAATCCCAATTGACCTACTCCTTAATTTACTTTACTTTTTTGTTGTTGTTCCCCTTCATCTCCCAACATCAAGAGCTCCAGAAGGGAGGGCTTTAATCTCTCATGATGCATGCTCTTTTCCCAGTGCCTGGAGCAAAGGAGGAATTTAATAAATATTTGTTAATGTAAGGAATGAATGAGCTGCTGCAGAACCACATACCACCATTTCCTTTGGGATTCCCAGCAGCTGGCATCCGTGCTCTGATTATAGTAGCGCAGTGTTTCACAGCAGGCTTTTCTACAACATGGTTACATGGCTGCTGGCTGAGGCCTCAGGGGCTGACCTTTGGCAGGCTGGAATGGCTTACATTAAAAAAAGCTTGTAGCTGCTGTGTACAAGGTGCTGTTTGAAGTACTTGCACGTGCTAACTCATTTACTCTCAACAGCAGCATTATGAGCACATCTTTTTAGTAATTTATAGATGAAATAATTAACACACAGAAGCTACCTGAGGTTATAAGGCAGTAAATAGGAGTGCTGTCTGCTTCCCCAGCCCATGGGTGGAAGCACTGTGCATTGCGAGTCCTGCCAGGTGAACCACAAAGAACACTACAACCTTAGCAGTGGCCTGTATGATGCAGATTCTATTGGGGAAGTATCTTCCAGATGAAATCCCAGAAATTAGATTTTGTGGAGAAATAGGACAGAGAGTTGGTTTTTCAGTAAAAAAAAAAAAAAAAAAAAAAAAAAGGAGATTTATTTATTTATTTTAAAGATTTATTTATTTATGCATATAAGAACTGGGGTACAGGCCAGAGGTGTGGGGGGTGAGAGAATTCACCAGAGACAGAGTGGGGAACAGAACAGGTGGATTGACTGAAATACACTGCTGAGGGGAGCAGCGGGCAAGTCAGGAGATGTCTGCTGCTGTGGGTCACCTCCCTGGCCGGGGATCGAACTCATGCTGCTGTGGCTGCAGATAGCTTCATAGTACTGAGGCTTAACCTGTTGTGCTACCAGGGAGGCCCCCCAAAATGGAGATTTATTTTTAGATTTTTTTAGGGTTGAAAATTTGAAGAAAGGTCTTTTACATGCAGAACTCTTACATTGGATATTTTAAAATAAAATACTTAGGTAAAAGGAATGTGCCAAGTAAATTTCATATACCCCAAAGCCCTGTAATAGTGATTAATGCAATAAACAAAACAAAACAAACCCATATACAATTAGAACTAAGAACATTAAAAAAATGAGTATATTATCCAGTCAATAGTAATTATTTTGATTCTAAAACTGGATAATGAAAACATGAAAAGTGAGTTAATAAAAGCAAATAAACAAACCAGATTACTGAATAAATTTCTCAAAATAAATTACAGTCATTGTAACAACTGCACTCTGATATGGGTAACAATGTATGCCCCTTAAATGCTCATATTTAGAGTTCATCAAGGCTGAATTTGAGTCTTTTGATTCTGTTGTCATTGGAATCGAGTCCCCGGATACATCTTTAAGGTTGATCCAGGAGTTCATCTTCTGTTTTTCTCTATGTATTTTATGGCTTCACGTCTTATATCCAGGTCTTCAATTCATTTTGAGTTAGTCTTTGTGTATGAAGTTAAATAATGAGCTAGCTTCATTCTTTCACACGTGGCTGTCCAAACATCATTTGTTGAAGAGCTTTTCCTTTATCCATTGCATGATC